TGCCGGGCTTCAAACTTCAGAAAGGTGACAAAGTAAAAATAGAAATACCTAAACGCGACCCATATGAAAATACTATTGACTATGACAACAATGGGAACCCGACAGGTACTCACATTCGTGTTCGTAAAAATAGAAGAAAGTATACAAGAGAATATTATGAAGTTTTAGGCAAACATGGCAAAATGTACACACTGCAAGCAGAAGATAAAACTACTATTGCCAGACCTCGTTTCAAACTTGTCAAAGTTCAAGGTGGTATACTTTCAAAGACAGTTCCTAACAAATATAAGACAACTCCTGACGAATATGCTAAAGAAGTTGAAAATGACGACTAAGCAATTCTATACCATGCGTAAACTGTCATGTAAGGTGGCATGTAGTCTTTACTTTGTCCCGTTGTTTGTGTATATCCTGAAACGAAATGTGTATGGTTTCCTTCTCCCTGCGTGTCATCCCAGTAACAATTTATAGCAAACTTAACGTCGTCTTTAACATCATATCCTTTACCTTTTGTCATTCCTGACCAATCCCAATATCTATGCTTATGCCAACCTGCTTGAGATGTACTTAAATCTATGTAGTGACTGTGTGCAGGTAAATTTTCACCTGAAATCGTTTTACTTCCACCTGTTTCCTTTGAAGAGTTTGCACAATACAAAAACCTGTCGACTATTTGTTCCCATGCACCAACACCAAACATTACTTGAGGACCTCTTGCATCCATAGATGTATAAATAGAACCTACTGGGTTCATTAAATCAAACATATGAGATATTATAGGATTGTCTCTTTTGAACTTAAAATATAGTGCAACTATTTCAGGTTTCTTCTGGTTTGTGTCAGAATATTTTTTATAATATAATCTTATGTTTTCAGGGTAGGTAAAATCTTGACTATAATATTTATTTCTGTCATCTGTATAATAATATACTATTCTCGTTTTTTCTATTGCATTATATCTTTTATATCTATAATAATCTAAATATAATGTTAGCTTTTGTTCATCTACATGTGGTGTTCTGTCGTCATCTCCGTAGTCATAATAATATGGTGCCGGAGCTGGGTCAGGTAATATCATATCCACCATTTCATAAACTCTTAAATATTTCTTTTGTTCGTCTCCATATAAGTTTAAGTAGCAGTTGTTGTCTAATGGAACTTTAACTTGTGTACCATCATTCTTTTTATAGCTTACATACATTTCATTGTTATTTTTCGGAATGAGTTTATTCCGTGTACCATTTTTTAAGGACTGTACCAACTGCCATCTAAAATATTTATTTTCTTCATTGACAGAAAAGTCACCAACAATAGTTTCAATATTTTTTGTTCCTATCAAACTTTGGTATATTTCATTGACATATGTTTTATCTGCTTTATTTTCAAGGCTAACGTTTAAGTCTGTTATTTCAGAAGATGTATGTGTATGTCCAACGGCATTTTTCCTGTTTAAGGTTTCTTGTAAGTTTGTAATATCAGATATAGAATGTGTATGTCCAACGGCACTTTTCCTGTTTAAGGTTTCTTGTAAGTTTGTAATATCAGATATAGAATGTGTATGTCCAACGGCACTTTTCCTGTTTAAGGTTTCTTGTAAGTTTGTAATATTTGCAATGGTATGTGTATGAGTCTTATCTGCTTTTGTCTCTAATGTTTCCTTAAGACTTGGTATTTGGTTAATATAATGTATATGAGTCTTTTTAGAATATTCGTTTTCAGCTCTTGTCACTTCACTTGACATTTTATTGTCAACATATGTTTTGTCTGCTAGTTCAGGATGAGTATGTTCTTTTGTTGCATAAGCATTGTTAGCTCTTTCTTCTTCTTTTGCTATTGCATCGTCTACATATTCTTTGTCAGCTTTGTTGTCAACATCTGCTTTCAAAAGAAGTTCATTTATAGGTTTCTCGTTTAAAGTTCCTTTTGTTGGATTTATACAGACAGTATGGTTCTTATTGTCTTGAAATAGAAACTCATCTGTCATTGGGTTTATTGTCAGTTTTAAGTCACCCCTTTCAATGACTCAGATATCTTAGAATAGTTTGAAAAGTTTGTTGTGTTCTTATTTAGAGCTTGCATAATGAGTTGTCGGTTGTGTTGTATTTCTCTCATAGACGCTGTTTCATTTGACATTTTTATTATAGATAAAATATGCTTCCAATAGAAAAAGAAAATTCTAGAGTTGCTACAACTAAACCATTAGATGAACTTTTTACTAATGTCGGTCAAAAGTTTGAGACAGATACCGTAAAGCATGAAGGCTATCGTTTTGACTACCCATTAAGATGGTTAAGAGACCCATCCGTCACAAAAGCTATTGGCTTTCGTAGAATGAAGTTCATTTCAGAAGCCATACATTGTTTCCCATTTACGGTCGGTTTTGAAGTTCGATACTATAACAAAGAAAAACGTATGTATGAGAAATTTGAACAGGGAAAACTTTTACAAGTTAGTTTGCTTGTAAACTTAGAAACAACTCTTCAAGCTTTTCAAGAAAAAATAAACGACATCTATATTGAATATGCAAACCAGTATAACATTGACGAAGGAGAATACCATCTCGATATTATTTATGACAGGAAAAATGCAACTGTTAAAATCAATAAAATAGAAGACCTTGGAGAAAACGTTTATATTTCTACAAAATATAACAACTTGGCATGGTATAGATTTATGAGGATGTTAAATCAGCCTGCAGCATATCCAGTACACCCGGACTATTATGAAGTCGAAAACCCTAATGGAACATATGAAAATATTTTCGACCCAGATGCTATTATTGTTCATGCTTCATTTTCTGGCGCCCAAAACTCTTTTTTATGCTTGGCAAATGACTTTTACGAAAAACCTACAAAGTTATACGAACCACCAAGTGGAAGTATTTCAGACTTTCAAGTATGGTTTACTACAGATGGAAGAAAAAGAATAATTCCATTATACCATGCGTTTTACTTAGAACTTAGTTTCATATACAACTACTATCGAACGATAAAAATATAATTTTTTAATACGGTTGAGGTGTTGGATTTGGTTGCCAACTTGACTGTGGTGCAGGTTCAGGTTGTTGTATAACAGGAGCTTGTTCTTCTGGTTCAGGGTCTTTAGGTATAATACCAACAAACTGACCTACTCTTTTACCAATATTTTTGACACCGTTCCATACTCCTCTTCCGACAGATTTTATTCCATTCCATATACCTCTTCCAACTCTTCTGAAGAAGTTTCCAATACTACTGAAGAAACCCATTTTACTATATGTAAAAATCTAATGTCCGCCTAGTCTCTTACGTTTCCTGTTGAGTTCCATAGCATTCTTTAACTGGAGCTCATACATTCTGTTTCTCCTCTGGTAGAAAACATATTCTGGGTCAACTCCTGTGTTCGCGTCATCTGCATAAAGTTGTTTATATCCCACTTCAGGGTTTGTATAAAACTCTTTCCATCTCATATTTGCATACCATGGTGGCAAACCTAACGCAGCGTCATTTGACATGGCAGTTTGCATTTGTACATCTGTTGGCACTTGACCATAGTTTGCCATTGCAGTTTGTATTCTAACTTCATTTGGAATATTCTCTGGGTTTGGTTGTCCAGGTTGCTGTGCATTCGCTAAGTTCTGTGCGTCCATTTAATATTAGATAAAAATATCTCTTACGAGTACATATACTGAACATTTGCAGGCATTGGTTCATCTTCATATTCTCTGTACTTTTCTGCCACGTCAAATAAATAAATGACACAATGGAAAAAACCTAAAACAAGTAGTCCTATTTCAAACCACATTTACTTACTAATAAAATTTCTTTATTGTGACACTTTCTCCGGTTTATAGGACCTCTCTCATATTCTATCTTGTCATATATAAACTCATAGTCATGTATGTCCTCTAACCATCTCATAACGGTTTCCAAACCACTTTTATCGGATGTAAAGTAAAAGCATGGATGGTTATGTATAACGTCTAAAGTTTCTAAAGAGTCTCTCAAAGTCCAGTCTACTTGGTATTGAAAATCCCATGTGTTATAGAACGGCGGGTCCACTATAAAGAAAACATTTTCCTTGTCTTTATATTTTTCATACAACTCTGTCCAACGACATCTCACAAACTCTATACCCTCAATATATTTTTCTATGTCCTCTTTGAAAACATTTGTATAGTTAAGATATAAAACTTTTGACATAAGTGTTTCAATGTCATGAACTCTTATAGCACCACTATATAATAGTCTAGCAGATATACTATCCCAGTCTATATATTCTGCTTTTTTCAAAACCTCTCTCACAATATTTTTCTTATCTAATGGTATACGTTCCATCTTACCTATAGGTATCTTTTCTTTTAACTCTTTCAATATATTGTTTGTGTCTGGAATATGTTTGAGACGGTCCATATAGTTGTCGAAGTCATTGCATATAATCTTTGAGTCTGGGAATATTGTATGACATAAATGGGATATATAGAAACTTCCACCGAACAAATCTACAAATGTTAGACCATTCGGTAGTTTCTTAAGTTCTCTCAATATAATATCTTTACATCTACTCTTATTTCCAAAGAACGGTAACGGTGGTTTTGTAAAATTCATTTATATATAATAATAAAAATGTTTTACCTGAAAAGTGACAGAAAAGTGACAAAACATGAAAACATATATAATTTGTGAAAAGTGGCACATTATATAATGTTTTCAACCCAGAAGAAGGCTTCTTCCCAGAAGCAATGGAGGAGGAAGAAGAGGAGGAGGAAATACAAGACTCTATCCAAGAAGAGTCCTCCGAATTCACACCAGAAGACTAACAATTTTCCGAATAAAAACTTCATTTATACTAAACATCTTCGGGGCTAGAGGGCGCAACGCGCCTGGAAGCCCCACTCACCTGACCTAAATTACAAATTAATTGGATCCCCTCAAGTGGAAAATTGATCAAGATAGTTGATTTGACTTTTTTTGACTACAAAGCTATTTTTAAAAAAAAATAATTTCTTCTAACCATACGAAATGAAAGCAAATAATACTGAAAATAAAAACGAATCAAAGCAAGAAGTTCCTAACTCGAATACGGGTGATACAAAAGATACAAAACAGGCAGTTTCTAACTCAAATTCAAATAATAATGAAACTCAAAAAAGAAGAATTACACCAATAGAGCTTTTTATCGAAGAACATGGAAAAGAAGTCAAAGAAAAGAATCCAAACATAAGTGAAGCTGAACTAAGATTAAAATACTTCCATACTTTCCAAACTTTGCCAATAACAGACAAATCTGAATACGTTTCCCGTGCTCAAAAAATAAATGAGGAAAGATTTGCATCTGATCCAAAACCAACAAATCAAAATTCTCCAAGTACACCAGTTACCAAGGAAGCATCGGAATTAAATAGTTTTAAGAATCAAGTTAAAAACAAAGGCAATCTTTTCGCATCTCCATTTGCAACAAATAATCCATTGAGTCTTAATTTACATTTAAATACAGACATTAATAATAAGGCAAACGCAGATACAATCAAAAAGGATGAAAACTCCAAAGAAGAAACAAAACAAAATGACTCTAACTTGAAACCAAATAACAACGAAGAAACAAGCAAAAGAGTTACTCCTCTTGACCTTTTCATTGAAGAACATGGAAAAGAAATCAGAGCTAAATATCAAGAATTTTTCGGTCTTCCTATCCAAGAAGCGTATACATCCGAATTCAAAAAATTGACGGCTGAAGAAAAGACAAATTACCAGCTACGTGCTTACAAATTAAATGAAGAAAGATTTGGAGCAAATACTCCATCAGATTCTCGAATTATTCATATGTCCAAACCTGACGCGACCAAAGGATCAGATTCAGGTAATAAGTCAGAAACAGGTAATAATGTTAATAAACCAACATCCAGTACTGGAAATGGTTTTGGATCTGGAAATGGCTTTGGATCTGGAAAAGCTTTTGGATCTGGAAAAGGTTTTGGATCTGGAAAAGGCTTTGGTACTGGAAATGGTTTTGGTAATGGAAATAGATCTATTACTGCAAATGGCTTTGGTACTAAAAAAGTTTTGGGCTCTAATTTTATGTCAAAACTTAGAAGTGGAGTTGATAATAAACCAACACTTAATGATGGAGTTGATAATAAACCAACACTTAATGATGGAGTTGATAATAAACCAACACTTAATGATGGAGTTGATAATAAACCAACACTTGGTGGAGGACTTGGAAATAAGCCAACACTTGGTGGAGGACCAGAAAATAAGCCAGCAATTGGAGGATTTGGAAATAAGCCAGCACTTGGTGGAGGACTTGGAAATAGGCCAGCACTTGGTTATGGATTTGTTAAAAAGCCAGCACTTGTTAATGGTGATACTGGTGCTGTAAATAATTTTGATACTGGATATCTCTATGGAAACAGCCCTTGGGCTGTCGATGGTCTTTTAAGATGCAAATTAAATCAGCAAAGAACACAATCTGAAAAGAAGTTGATCTCTTATATTGATCTTTTCATTGAAGAACGAGGAGAAAAAATAAAAGAGAAATATCCAGATTTATCAGAAAGTGACCTCCATTCAAAATACATCAAAGAATTCCAAGCTCTACCGGTTCAAGAAAAAGTTAAGTACGTTTCTCGCGCTGCAATATTAAATGATAAAGTATATAGCCACAAATCTTCTAAAGATTCTGATGATTCTGATAATTCTGATGATTCTGATGATTATAATGATTATAATAGTAATTCTGAGTCAACATTAAGTGACTCAACTGATGACCCACCAGTCGACACGGATGCCTTGGCCCTAATTCCTGCATATTCTCCTGGAACTGGAACCAGCGCTAATACTTCTCTTGGAACTGAATCTGGCTCTAATACTTCTTTTGCTGGTCGTGGACTTGGTGCTTCTACAAAAATTAGTGGTGGACTTAGTGCTTCTACAAAAATTGGTGGTGGACTTGGTGCTTCTACAAAACTTGGTGGTGGACTTAGTGCTTCTACAAAAATTGGTGGTGGACTTAGTGCTTCTACGAAAATTGATGGTGGACTTGGTACTCCTGCAAAAATTGGTGGTGGACTTGGTGCTTCTACAAAAATTGGTGGTGGATTTGGTGCTTCTACAAAAATTGGTGGTGGACTTGGTGCTTCTACAAAAATTGGTGGTGGATTTGGTGCTACTACACATATTGGAACTGGAACTGGTTCTAATACTTCTCTTCGTACTGGAATTGATGCTAAAATTAGCAACAAAGGTGTGGAAATGTTTATCAAAGTCAGACAAAGACATGATGACTCTTTACCAAGACAACAATTAATAAAGTTATATGGCAATTTGCCTCAATCGATTCGTCGTGATTACGAAGAAATTGCAGAGATGCTTAACCAGAAAGAAAATGAACAACCAATTGAAGGAAAAACATCAAATGTTAAAACTGCCACCAAAGAAGATCCAAAGGAAGAAAAAATCGTTAAGCAACAAAAGAAAGACAAGAAGCATAAGAAACACAAAAAAGAATCTTCATCAAGTTCAGATGATGAAAGTTCAAAGGATAGAAAGAGAAAGAAACATCGGATTACAGTCATCAACGTTTACCCAACACCAAATCAGTTTATGTATCCGTATTTCAATCAGCAATTCTTCCCCCAACAAGCAAGGCCTCCGATCCGCAGATTCTCGTCTTCTTCTTCGACATATTCCTCGTCATCATCGGACTAATTAATTTAATTATTTTTTTTATAAACATTTATATTTTTAAATAATTTGAAAAGAGAATTCATTACCAAATTGAACTGTTTATAGTCTTTAAAATAAAGAAATTAATTCAAAATTGAAATTGGACTATTTTTTTACTTAAGGATACCCTTACGTGTCAGATTTTTTGCGCATACGAAGAAGTCATGCTAGACATGAGCTATAAACCTGAAATTTTAGCAACATATTTAAAACTTTTTAAACTACAATACACTTTAATATTCAAGAACAAAAATATTCTTTTTAGAAATTACATAATTATTTTATGTGAAATCTATATAAAAACATATTTTGCGAGCGTAACTTTTTTCTTTATAAGCACCTTATATGACTGATAAACTGTGAAGGCACATAATTGTTAATTCATAGAGTTGATATGTTTCCAAAATTGAGAGGAAATTTGAAAATTGAATACCCTTTCAATTCAATTTTCAAAAGATATCAGCTCCTTCAATAATTGAAGGACGATTTTGATCATTTGCTCTTAAAACAAGTATGCCATGGAGAAAAAAGTTACGCTCGCAAATCTGAAATATAACTATCATATAAAAAAATTAAATTTCTAATTTTTTACTCTATAGATATTATTGGCCACTTGTGTAATGCATAAAAGTTTATGTCATATGCATACATTTGGAAGTATGGGAGACGAGGGAAATTACTTCTATGAGGCACTAGGATTTTTAAAAATTTCTCTATCGGACTCACCATTCAATTTCTCGAAAATTAAAAAAAATCAATAATAGCTAAAATGTATTATGCATAACAAATTTTAATGTTACACGGTATTTTTGAACTTCATGACATGAATTTTCTTTATATTATTTTTTTTTGGATTTTCTATGATTTATGCGATAGGCTGGAACAACATTGTAAGTGCAATGATATCATTTATAGAGAAATCTAAAACTTCAGCATTCAGAACTCGCAACCACAAAAATATTCATTTGCTAAGTAAGTAAAGTTGATTAAGTTCGACACTTAGCTTTTATACGTAAAACCAAGTGTGTATTGTTATTTCTTGTTAAATTATTGAGAAAAAAATAAATTGTAAGAGAAACGATACTGATTATTGAAATAATATTGAGGGTAGCTGCAGATTTCTTCATTAACATGCCGGAAATTTGTTAATCTTGGTTTTCTATCATAAAATCTGTCGAAGAATCTAAAAACGGAGATATGAAATAGAGATCATGTAAATCTAGAGTATCCTGTCAGAAAAATAGACTAAGCATGTAACCCTTTTTTGGTCATAAACACTTTTTACCACTTAGTCATACAGATGATCATTAAATTTAAACGAGCACTTTTTGTCAGAATTTATTCTTTTACAAAGACAGAAGATTTTAGTATTATTTAATATTAGTGCTGTAGCAAAATTCAAAAAACGGTGAAAATTCAGTGAATTTGTGAATTCACATTTTTTTCGACATTTTTCTTGATATATCCATGCACATTAAGAACACAGCTTTGATACGCTTAAAAAAGCATATTTCATATGAAATTGTTAAAGAAATAAACAATTTATATAAAAATTGCACTTATGGGCAGTTTAGATATATAATTTATATATAACATATATACAAATCCATAGACAAAGTGCAATAACTACAATGTTGTAGAAAATTACAGCAGAAATACTGACTTTTTGAAGGATAATAAGAATTCTTCTAAATGTTGTATTTTTATAATTTGATTGATTTTTTTTACTATTTCATTAATCTTTTATGAATAATAATTATTTTTAATATATGTGCTATTAAAATTTCAAATTTTGACTAATATATCTAAGTTATCTGAACGAAACATTTAGAAATATCATACTTACATTGAAATAGCAAGTAGAGCATATTAATAGCAAGTTTCTTGGCTTTATATCTATCATCTATTGTTGTTTGATCAAACAAAATTCACTCTATTATATGGTGTCAATTAATTAAAACAATTTTTAATAGTTATTTATTTAGTGCGAATAAGTGCAAACTCATAAATGAATAACTTAATAGTAGAAATGAATTATCTGATATAAATCTCACATTTTGTCCATCAGAAATACTTTAATTGCATACGCATAACTATTAGTAATACGTCTGGAGTGTCAATTAATAACAATCCCAAACAAGTAAATTCAGATTTTTATTAAACTTATTTTTTCCTAAAAGTTTTCTCAAATTACTATATATACATATGTGGATAAAATAATAGTAATATTGTAAAAAATTAGATAATTTTTTTTATTTGAGAACCTCTCAAAAGTTCATTCAATTTATCAATTGTTTCAGTTTGATGTATATTCATTTCTGGAGCCTAAAACTTTAGCAATCATGACAATATCATATTCTCTTTCTAACTACGCAATGTAAGGGTATCCTTAACATTTCGAAATGAGTAGGGGTAATTTTAGCTAAAAGTGACACGCCTGTGAAGGGTGTGATTACTGATCGGTAATTTCGACAGTTTAGAATTTAAAATTTTTTATGGAACTGTTGCGAGTTTCATAAAGAATTTAAGGAATATAAGCAAAGATTTGAATCAAAATCGAAATGAAGGCAAGTATGTGGTAATATATTTGAATTTTTCTGTTGCCATCATACAAAAGTAAAAATATGTTGATTATTTATCTTTCCTGAAGTATTTGACAGTATACTTTCTAAATTTGATTGTGTGTGTCAATATAATTCAATCAGAAATAGTAATATTTCATAATTTTCAGGCTGATCACTCAAATTCAAAAAAAATAATAATCTAAAACTATCAATGTGTACATATATTGTGCTACTAAATGCATATATGATAGTGATTTTTGGTAAATTTTGAAAAAGATTTTTTAAAAATGGATAACTAATGTTTTATGTATATTCCTTTATTAAAAACAACAAAAATATAATAAATATTAACAAAAATTTCAGTGATTTTTGGAAAAAGCAAATGTTTTTTCATAAACGTACGCTTGGGCCAAAATTGTCTCTAGTTCATCTTCACTCCATGATTTTGGTGACAAACTCTGCATAAAAATGCTACATTCTTGAACATTCTCCATAATCTTTGGAGAAAGAACTGTAAGCATTGCTGCGCAGACGTAAACATGTACTGTAGCTATCCTTGTTACTTGGCTCAAGTAGAGGTCCCAAATTCTGAACAGCATATGGAGATGAAATTCTCTGACGAGTAAACAGTTCATCCATTTGAAAGCAAATTGGCTGGTTTCAATATTTTGGTCAGCAAAGGTCTGTGCAAGTACAGGATCAACTTTTTTAAGTAATTCTTCAAGCGCAGAAATCATTCTAAATAATCCTGGCTGATCTTTGGTAAATACGTCTTGAATTCCATCTAGAAGCTTAGAAAAGCACCAGAAGCAATCGCCTTCGATTTCTCTTAGGGATTCGTCGGAAATTGAATCAATGTTTTCCAATTTGCAGATATCTTCGATGGACATATCTTGTATGTAAGAGGAAAGAAAAACTATGAAGAAGGGAAGCAAAATATCGTTCATTCCTTGTACATAGCCGGAAGCTGGATGTCTGACAGCCCAAACAAATAAAATGTGCTGGAATAAAAGTGTAACACGTGGATCTTTTAACAATTTGTTGGGTGTACGTGGTAAATCGATATCAATTTGATGAATTGTTGATTTTTGAGAAGATGTCCATAATGCTTGTTGATTTTTTCCATATAAACGATCGAGACAGTCGAAATAGTCTTTTCTTTTATGCTTAAGTGTTGATGCAGAGGAATCACGACTTATTGGCTCATAATCGAGGAATAAGCGCCAAACAGTAGGTCTAAGCTTTCCAGGTATGCCCATCCAGGCAGATTCTCGTATTTTATCAATATCTATGATTGGCTGCTCAAGTGCTTTCGTAAATAATCTTTCATTTTTCTCTTTAGCGCGTTGCTTTGGAGATAAAATTGGTGCAGGCTCTGTTATTGACACCCTCGCGAGTGCAGGAGGTCCTTTCTGGCGTGCTAGGACTGGTTGCCCTGGTGAAGATGTCATCGATAAATTTTTGGGGGTCACTTGCACTTTTGGAAAATAATCGTTCAGTTTGAAGTTTTTTAGAATTATCGTTTTTTAAACGTTCACTGTATAGGAATCTGGATATCCCTATGCACTCAACTGATTTTTACTAAATTATTTTTACTGTGTCGTATATGGAGATGGGATTTCGTTATTCAAGAGCTTCCATTGAATATAATAAATTTTGAATTTCGATTTCGTTAAATTAGCTCCAAACATATAGGTTATCTGAATCTATACATTTGGGAGCTAATTTAGCTATATTTAAACACTTCTGATTACTACATTTACTGGTGTTACCCCCTTTATTTTTCAAAAATTTTCTTGATGTGTCAATTTTTTCGATAAAAATAAACGTACAAAATTTTCTTGAGATGACTCGCAACCAGAGAAATAAAGCTCTCAAGGATTTCAATCTTGTAGACGAAATGCCATTCTGTGCTGAAGAAAATGATATGGAAAAAATTACATCTTATCTTGATAATGTTGCAATTAAAAGAGTTGATAAGAATTTACTCGACAACAAAAAGAGAAGAATCCAATCAAAACGCAGAATTGAAAGACTTGAAATCGATGATGTCGTTGTTAAGGCTTTAATGAGGCTAACAAACGCAGTTACAGATTGTTTTACTTATGAACGCCAAGCCAATACAGCTAAACAGCAAGCAACTCAAAGAAAAGTTGTTAAAACAGTACGTGAACAGAAAGCAAATCAACTTGCTCGTCAAAGACTTCATGAAGAAATGCAACGTAGAACAATGTTACGACAAAACATGATCAATCGCTCAGTACAAGAGCGTATTAAGGAAGAAGCTGTTAGTGCTATTAAAGCTAAAGAAGAAGATGCTCTCGCACAGCGTCAGAAAGCAAACAAGAAAGTTTTACTTATTGCAGAAGATAACTTCGAGCGTGATATGCGTGATGAAGCAGATCAAATTGAAGAGATCCAAAGGAAGAGACGTATTCAAAAGCATGCACAAGTTGATTTCCAAAGAAAATCTCAACGCGATCAGCTTGTTGCAGCTCTCTATAAACTTCGCTCCGGTATGGATCAGCTCGATTCACAGGCTGATAAAATGGTTCATCATCCTGCTGTTATTCAATAATTATATTCTTTATTAAAATTTGTATTTGTTTTCTCTTATTAACTAAAGTGTTTATTCATAGTTTAGACTTGCAGAATAATGTTTAGGTAATTAATCCTGTTGCAAACATAAAATGAAAGATTGTCGTGAAGAATAACAGATTATTTGGAGCTGTGATTCATTGTATACTATTTGACCATGTCACTGTTACACAATAGGTTTATATTCTTTGACACTTTTGCAATTGTCTGTTTTTTTTTTATTCAAAAGTTTCATGAGGAAAGTTCCTCTTATTTATCCTCGTGGCACTTATAGAAAGCAGCCTTTCTACTACAGAGGTGGAGACCCGTATAAAGAACAAGAATATATTAATGGAGAAGCAATAAAAGCTATTAACGAATTTAAGCGTGCTAAAAAAGACCTTTTAGCAGCACAAGAGCAATATACAGAAGCAGAAGGAGTTCAAAATGCTGCTGATGAGTATACTGTTCAAATTGCAAGAAATCTTGGCTCAAGATCCAAAAATACGCAAGAAAACTCGAGATTGAGGCAAACAATTATCGAATCAGAGCAAAATCTTTCAGAACTAGATCAAGAGCTCGCAAATCTTGAGCAAAAGACATCTCATGCAGAAATGTTACCAATAATTAACGAGCACGCTCAATACAAACCGGATTTAAGAGACTTAAATCATTCAGTAGAAACCATACAAAACAAAGTAACCAACAGTAAGCGCGAAATCGCAACAACTTTAATATCTCCAAATTATTGTTATTCATGCGATACATTAACAGAATTTACTGTAGCAGAGAAGTTCAGAAACTTACTTAAATCAGAAGTCAACAAGCAATTCTCAAATCAAGGCTCCAGAAAGACCAAATCAATTGCAAAGAATTCAACATTGGCAAATTCATCATTAAAGAACGGTGTAGGTAAAGCAATTGCTAAATCTCTCGATACTTACGTAGATACTCATCTCGCTTTATCAGAAAGTGAGATACATTTGAAATTAGCCAAATTACACGAACAATATGCCACAGAGAACTTATTAATACAGATAGAAGACATGAATGCCATTGCCCATCTCGATTTAGACATAGATGCCATCAGAGAAGCTGTCAAAATGGATTACGAAGATGGCCAAGAAGAAAGTTTCCAAACAGAGAAATATTCATTACAAGAAGAGGAAGAAGATGATTTCCTAAGTGATGAATTCGAGAAATCTTCCATCAAAGAGGAAGAACAATCGAGTTTGTCGTATAAAAGTTCAAGTCATTCGAAACTTGCACCATCATTTAAACAAAAAACGAAATTCCCAAGGAAAACATACAAAAAGAAGAAATCTCCAAAGAAGAAAGACCTCAACAACAATGCTCCGATGTTTGAGACAGAGCAGATGAAGACAGCACTCTCGTCAAGTGATGTTGAAGATGATTTGTCTGATAAAGAAGAAAAAAGTTCAACTGAAAACAAAAGTGAAGTCAAAGAAAACAAAAACGAAGATGAAGAAGATTTTAAACTTGATACAACGAAGATCATGGAAGCATCTGTTGACAGTGATGATTCTTACGTAAAAGAATTACTTAAAGAAGAAAAAGAAAAAGATAAAGGTTTAGTTACTTCTTCATCAGAACAAAAATCCCAAATTGAAGAAAATCATGACAAAAACAAAGAGAAATCTGATGATTTTGACTCATTCGAGAATTCAAATCATCAAGAAGAAAATCATGATCAAAAGAAAGAAGAAGAAAAATCAGAAGATGACTTCGAAAACAGTGAAAAGAAAGAAGAAAATCATGATCAAAAGAAAGAAGAAAACGAACCTAAAATGTCAACAATTTCTGATGCAATTCAACAAAAAATTGAAGAAAAACAAAAAGATGATGATTTCGAAATTGAAGAAACAAAAAGTGACAAAAATGATGAAAAACCATTTGGAGGCTTAGCTGAAGCTCTTCAAAACAAAGCAGAAGAAGGAGAAGAAAAAGAAAAGAAAGAAGAGGAAAATGCAATAAAGCAAAATCCTGTTTTGAGTGAAGTATTAATGCCAAAAGAAGAAGAGAAAACTAAAGAATTAAAAGATGATTTTGAATCAGAAGAAAAACAAAAATCTGAAATTCAAAATGACTTTGAATCAGAAGAAGCAAAGATTCCTATAGATAACCTTCTCAAACCAAAAGAAGAAGAAAAACCTAAAGAAGAAATTAAAGATGATTTCGAATCAACAGAATCAAAACCTAAATCAGATTCAGAGAAATCTAAATCATTACTTGGAAATCTTCTGAAACCAAAAGAAGAAGAAATTAAAGATGATTTTGAGTCTGAAGAAAAGAAAGAAAATTCGAAATCATTACTTGGAAATCTTTTGAAGGAAGAAGAAAAGAAGGAAGATGAAAAGCCAAAGGGACTCTTAGGACAACTTGCAGAAACAATCAAACCTAAAGAAGAAGAGAAACCAAAAGAAGATGAAGAATTTAGTTTGGATGATGAAGATTTCGAAAACGTTTCTAAGAATGATGCAAATGTTTCTCAAATTGATGAAACTCACAAAGCAATTAAAGATGAGCTAAATATATCAGAGATAAAAGGAAATAACGAAGAAAGAAAATCTGATGCAAAGATATCCGACAACGAATTTAACGATTTTCCAGATGACAAGAAAGAATCTAAGATTGATGAGAAACATGATGATTTTGATACTGCAATCGAAGGAAGTGACGACCTTTCTTATTCTGATATTTGATTTTATTTATTATATATTAAAAAACTATTGTGTTTATTGTTTAATAATCTTGACCATATTTTAATAGCGATATAATCAAGTGTTTTTTTATATTCAAACTTTCTGATGATTGAATCTCAATGTTGCCACCTTAATTAATATTCTGAGTGACATTGTGCTAATGTTTCTGCATACGATATAAGGATTTGTTTCACTTTCTTGACAACTTTCTATATCTTGCAGCTGTATATGATTAGCTTATGATTTTTCATAATATAGCAAAAAAATGATGGGAAAACTGTTCTTCACTATGCAGCAAATAAATGTAATAGTAAATAATTGGTTGAACTTCTCCTTTCATATGGTGCAAATGACAATGAAAAAGATGAAACTGGAATAACTGTTCATCATTATGTAACACACAATTACGACAAAGAAATAGTTGAATATCTTCTTTCACATGGTGCAAATGCTAATGAAAAAGATAATATTGGAGAAACTGCTCTTGGTATAGCAATTGAAAATAATAATAAAGAAATAGTTGATCTTCTTTTTTTCTTACACCCGAAAATGTACAAAAAATCTTTATTATAGTCATTAAAACAACAATATAAAAAATAAAAATACATAAAATATATCTATAAAGAATAAGCAGCATCAAATTCCATGAATCCCATTACTAATGAATTTGTCTGATTTGCATCAGGAATTGATGTTCCCATCATCTGTTTCGGAAACTCCAAAGGTCTTAATTCCCAATCACCAGCTATAAACTTTTGAATCTTCACGTTTGTTGACGAATCATATCTTTTGATGTAATTAGATGAATGTCTCCTCAATTTCTTTGTTTCTCTCTGAACTCTCATCATTCCTTCAATGATCTCCTGCTGCATGACGAAAGGAATAACCTTAGGAACAATTGGATTTCCGATCATCGCAATGACAGAACTCAATGTCATAGTGTCAGAAAGAGTAGGAATTGAGGAACTCCGAGGAATCGGATTCGGATTCATTATTCTCGTCAATGCTCTCACGACATCGTCAATTGACCTCGCCCAGTCAGTGAATGCGAATGTGCTTTTAATTGCACAGCATGGATCGTGCTCTGCAATAGCCAAAACAAATGACATGGCGCTGGGAACAACACCTAACATGTTCAAGGCGATTTTGTATAATCGTGCATATGGTTCTCGAACATTTTCATTTGTGGCTTTGTTAACAATCAACGCGGCGATCTTGAAAATGGATCCAGCAAGTTGTTCACTAGCTGTTTCGATCATTAAACTGTAATGTTCTATGGCTTTGCATAAAATGGTCACATCACTTTTCTCAATTAAAGCTTCTATTGGCTGAACGAAGAGGAATCCGCCAAATGTCTCCTTCAGAGGTGCTGCGATCATCATCAGTTCCTGTGAAGAAGATGTTTTTGTGAGGATTTCTAAAATTTGGCGGCTTCTGTCGTCAGTTTCGATTCTGGAGAGCAGCGGCCTTACTATTGATGGCAGGATGGACCACGCCGCCTTGTTCGTGGCCTGGCAATTCAATGATTTGAGGAAGATATCAGTGGATGCAGCCCTGCAAGAGTCAGGAAAGGCCGGGCAGTCGATGAATGTGGAGGCGTAGTTGAAGGCGAGAAGCTCGTTGTTGGTAAATATGTTGGAGAAGAAGCGAAATGAATCTGATATCAAATCTGTGAGAGAAAGTGGGTCGTTTTCGCTCTCCATCACGTAGTAATGCATGATCTTGATGATTCCGCTGATAACATTATTATCAAGCGGTTTTTGTAAAACGTTGTAAATTTTGAGAGACAACGAAGCGAATCTCAGCTCATTGCAGCCAAATAACCACTTGAGAGCTTCATTTCCCCACTCTTCGATTGCTTCTGCATCGTCTTCAAGCAATTTGGCAACAAATGAACAAGCTGTGACGATCAAATCCTCATCATGAGAAGATGTAGGGATTGGAACGTCGTATTGTCTGCACAAAGCTTGTAGCAATGGTTGTGTTTGAGGAAATTTGTAAAAGAGAAAGGAAAAATGAATTAATGCGACAATATTTGAAAATGATCCGAATCTTCTTTCGAAAGATTGGGTCAATAATTCAACAACCCAAAGCTGATCGTCGAAATTACGCTCCTGTGATGTAATATGGAGGAAATAAGCGAATGAGCACCGAGATAAGAGTTTTTCGCTGATGAAAGGGGCATCTTGTCTGATCAACCACAAGAGGAGACGCTTCTTGATCTGGGAATTCTTCCATTGCATGATAAAAAGCGGAACAATGTCTTCATGGTTCGGATTCTCAAGCAAATCGCTCCAAAGAAGGAAAAACGACGTTATGTAGTCTTCGTTGATTGTTTCTGTCGCTGTCATCAACGCAGACAAGAACTGATACGGAGTATAAATTCTAAATTTCTCTGGAGAGTCAACTGTGCAAGAACTCTGCTTTGGAAGTAATCTAATCTCAGGAATGTACCTCCTCAAAGCGTTAATTATCTCTTTTACGGGCATATGTAAAGAATTTCCACTTAATATGCGGAAAGCCTCTGAAAAAACAGTTTCTGCTGCACCGCCGGATCCATCATAGACAGAACTCGTGAATGCTTCCATGAATTCGGGGCTTCTTGGGTGTTGCATCTCTTCATATACGTTTCCAACGAGTAAAAGACAGCCAATTTTGGTCGGATTGTAATCTGATCCAGCTGTGAATACTACGAATAAAGAATCAAAGAATAAATCCGCATAATTTCTGTTGGATGTGAGACATGCGTCACAAAACTGAGTTAAAATGAGCTGTACGTGGTAGAAAAGTAATGAACTGAGGACTCTGTTGCCTGCGAACTCGATTTCGCCGAAAATATCGCATACTGTGTTGTCAAATATTACGGAATCTCCGAAAATTGGTCCAGACTTGGCCAATGTTGCCAAAGCCTGCTTTGACTTCTTCCTGAGATTGTCTAGAACCGACGATTTCGTCATCGCCCAGTTTAATAATCCTCTTAAAATCAATTCTCTTGAAGAAATCGACCAATCCTCTTCCTGGATGTTGCGGGTGATTATTTTAGTGATCATTGTGCAATAATTCTCCGCAATCGTTACGTTTTTGATGACAGGTTTCTCTAATTCTGTTGTCCAAGCAACATTCCTCGGTGAACTTGCTCCAAGTTTGATCAAAACCGCATGCATTGCAGAAAGGAAGTTCAATGCTTGCAATAATATCATATTAATAATATTTTCATCACATAATGGGGAATCCAAAAGTGACAAGAAAGCAGATGAAGCATCAGCCATTTTCTCGGGCGTGCATTGGGACAGGATGTCTGCAACATCGCCGGCATAGGCGATATTGAGGTGCTGGATCGCACTGAAAGCAAGTTGGTCGCCCCAACTCTTGTTTCCATCGAGTAATTTAGTAATTACGTTTAATGTAGTAGCAGCAGTAACCATGTTGGCCTGGTGAGGCTCGTATAAGGCTACCCTGTAGACCTGAGGGCATCTGAGATAGAAATCTTGGTTAACTCGTGATCCAAGGTACATCATTAGATATCCAATCAAAGAAGGCGAATATGTCTTCTGAGATTCATCAAGCGTAATAAGCAAAGCATACAAATTGTCATTAGACCTCTGTATTAATGGCGTGTAGTTCGCTGCCAAAATAATTTCGACAAATTCTGCAATATACAACAGCCAAATATCATAAAAACGGGATGATAATACCCACTGCAATAAAGTCTCTTCTTTATGAACACTTGTACCGAATAAACGTGACTTTACGCACTTTTCTATTGTAGATCCACTCTGATGTATGTAATAACTAATACTTTTGTGGTCAAGGAGCTCGTCAATGGCATCTAGAATATTCCATGCTATGATACGAGTACTCGGTTGCGTGGAAACGATGCCAATGAAAGCATAAAATTCGATATCATGGAGTAAATCGTTCGGAAGCGATTTTTGGTTCAAGGAAATTAAAATTGAGAAGAATTTGAGTACGATAACAACCGATTCGTTTGTAAAATCGTTTTGGATATTTTTGATGAGAACTTTAGTGAAAGGAATCTGTAATTCGGGGTCTTGGACGATTGCTGTGGCTACGGAGTATGCTGCCATAGCAGTTTGAAGCTTCGAAGAGTTACATGAATCGATTATATTTTTCAAAACTCCTTCTTCAAGGTAATCTCCTTGTTCTAGTATGTAGCGAAGTGATTTTAGGAGTTGTACGTCTAAACTGAAGAATTCGCTTTCGTTTGCAACCTCGAATTTTGAAAATAAAGCTCCATATTTATTTAATCCGTTTGCTTCAAGGAATGAGCCTATCTTTTGATCGGATTGATCAACTCTACGCCACATTCCTTCAAGAATTTGTAATGGAATACACTTCGGACTCTTCATTTCGAGAATTCTTAAATTTTGGCAAACTTTTCCGCGAATTAAAGCATTGAGAGTATCTATATCTTTCTTGTCGACATTAGAGACTGCATATTTTCTGAATTCTTCTGAGTTTATCGGTTCAATTGTTGATAATAAAACAATAAATCTGTAATCTGTTAAAGGAAGTATCAAGAAACTTTGTAGAATTTCATGTAGGAAGTACATAAAGTCAATCGATGCTAAATGTATTAAAACATTGCGGAATATTTGAGGACAAATTGCGAAGTTCGATTTTTTGAAGAAATATGTCATGAAAATCGCAGGCATTTCTGTTTCGTTTGTTCCTGTCATTCCTATGAATGACAAATCATCGTCAGTCGATAATTGGTTATATCCTCCCATAACTCTTCTCCAAAATAGCTTTAAATCACGCTCCGTAGTAGCATCTGTACCAGCATATGCGTAAACCCTCTTTTGAAAAAATCTGTTTGCTTCTCCTTCTTTATTTGGCAAATGTTGGAACAAAGTAACAATTAACTCGAAAGCTCCGTCTCTTACTGTCGGTTCTTCCTTTTCGTTCCACGCGATATCGAATATTTTCTGTAAAGTATCGCATGGAAAGTTAACTGTAGTAATAATCGAAGAAACGCAAGCAAAAATGTTATTGGTGAGTTGCTTTCGTCTCAGGAGTATTTTTAATGCGTTAAGGATGTCTTCGAGAAACGTAGTTCCGAGGGATTTGCATGAATCAAGTCGAATTTTGGAGACAAGAGTGAAAAGAGTTTCATTATTTACAGAATCAACATATGCCATGAATGGTGTGGATGATTCTTGAAAATTCTTGATGCTTGTGATGGCTAATATTATGGACCATTCATTTAAAATATGAGAATGAATTTCAAATTGAACTGAGGGGTCACAAACTTTGTAGGCACACTTTGCAACCATAGGGCCTTCTTCTCCTGTTCCAAATTTACGCACAATGGCTCCAATAATATCAGTTGTCATATAAAGTGCCAAATAATTGCAAACTTCCTTTGCTGACGCAGAACTCTGATATACTGCAGGAGTATGCGAAATTAGAACTGAAAAAATTCCGGGATCTTGAAGGATTAACGTGTTTGCGAAAATTTCAATCAGATTCCTTAAGGATTGCGAAGTATTATTCTTTGATAAACTGCACATAGAGTCGACTATGGATGCATACATTGGAATATTCTTCTCGATATCAACGAAAAAGGTTGATAAGGAAACTTTCGGCCCTTTTTGCAAAGCTTCGTCATACTTTGCAGTTAAAACATGATAATGAGATGTAAATGATTCAATAAGGCGCGAAAAGACAGAAAGAAAAAGCTCTGACCTACTTTCCATCGACATTCCCGCCACAATTGTTTAATCGAGAGAAATTTCCAAATTTAATAAACTCGCCGATAATCTTCTCAAAAAATTCATCGCACTTTTTAGAAAAAATATGTTATCGTTGATTAGCCGGAGAATTGATATCCTGATATTCTTCTGCAGATTCAATCAATCCAAAATTTTCTAAAAATTGAATTGCGAAGAATAAATTTCATATTCAAGCATGATATTGGATTGATGAAGTACATATATACTATTTTCCGCTTTTACCCTCATAAAAATTTGATTATAAAAGATTTGAAATTGGAAAATAAAGGTATGTGATGTTATTTCAACATTCATTTACTTTAAATTGCTAACAGTAACTTATACAATTTCTAGTTTATGATTAGATAATGAAATTCATTCGCGGAGTTTCATATCTTACCATTTTATTCTCACTAGAAATGAGAGAAACTTTATCTGAATGATAAGTTATTCAGGCAAAGTTTCACCCACTTCTTTGAGGAATAGGAGGCTATGAGGCACCAATATATAATCAGTGCTTCATTACCTCCTATTCCACTTATTAGGTTTCCGAACTTTGAGTCAATTTCAAATGATTAACACGGTGTCATGTGTATAGCATAGAGAGCATTGCACTTTTTTACCGTAATTGTCTTTTCGGATGTTGATTTTGTAGAAATAAGTCTCCGTGTGGTTCGTTGTGTTTTGTTTTCGAATTTTCTGTTCGAAATGAGACCATTTTTGAAAATTATCTGACGTATCATTTACAATATCTTTTATTATGAATTATATAAGAACTTGTAATGTTTTATTAAATAAATTAAGATTAAGCTTTTTATATTGGAAATTTAAATTGAACTTCTTATATTTCAAAAAAAAATGGCTGAATATTCATAATAAAAATACCTATTCAATGATAGTGATCCATTACTTGAAAGCAATTGAAGTTATAATTACAATATGATCAAATATTGGTTCATCTGATCCATATTGGATCGATCAAAAATTAGTTCAATAACATCTTCAATATTTATTTAATGGATATTCAAACTATTATCGATTCAAAATTCTATCTTTCAATTCTAAACGGAAAATTTTAATCATTTTTATATAAAGACCCTTATGAATCCTTCTAGCATTCATACTATGGAAGTTTATGCTGAATCTGAGCCAAGCAGGGAAGTTCTGGACTATATGAATAAGTATTATGAATTACCTTTTAACTTCTTTTTTGGCTCTTTCGAATTTATCCAAGGTCAAAAAGATGCAGAAGAGAAATGTAGACGCTGTCTTAAGATCTTCAATAAAGAGAGTTTAACCTTTCCTGGCAACGGCAGTAATGCTTCCATGGTTTTTTCATACATTATAGAACCGCTCAAATCAATTGGTGCCACTCTTCCTCAGTATTGTGATGCTATTGCTGAATCATTTCTATTATGCTCAAATATATCTTTAGACCCGAGTTTTCAGCTCACAGACGATAACTACAATCTTATCAAAAATGGGGCTGAATCCATATACTATGCAATGCGCTCGGATGCAGAAGACATGATTCGTTATGATATTTTGCTATTCCTTCACCAGAATTTCAAAACCAATGTAGTGTTTCCAGAATTTGGACAGTTTAGAGAAGATGTTGGACAAATTAGAGAAGATGTTGGACAAATTAGAGAAGATGTTGGACAAATTATAGAAGATGTTGGACAAATTTGTGAGTCACTTGAAGAGGTGAAAAAGATGTTCAAGAGATGAAAGATATTTTTAAAGGATTGAAAGATGATATCATCCAAGCAGTGAAAAATGAAATCATCCCAGCAATAAAAGATGAAATCATCCAAGCAATGAAAAATGACATCATCCCAGCAATAAAAGATGAAATCGTCCAAGCAGTGAAAAATGACATCATCCCAGCAATAAAAGATGAAATCGTCCAAGCAGTGAAAAATGACATCATCCCAGCAATGAAAGATCAGCTAAAGGAAACAAGCAAAGAAGCCAACAAAATTAACGCCATTGAAAATGATGTGAAAGACTTAAAAGCCTTTAAGCGTAGGCAAGAATCATTTTACATTTGTGAGTACTTCAAACCACAAGAAAATACTCAAGTTTTGGATCATACTCCTTTATCAAACAAGTGAGGAAAATCTTGGAGCAATTTCTTCAATTCCTTTGAATTACCCCTTATTAGAGTGTCATAAAACCTCTGATGCTTTTCTAAACCATTTTCCAGTTTTATAATTATTATTTTTTTGGTAATGACATCTTCAATATTTAATTGGGAGTTTTTTATCTTCTTTATAATTTTCGCCTGACGAAATATATAAAGAACGGCTTTTAATTCTTTATTTTTCGATATCATAATATGAATGACTGAAAATCAAAAGTTGAAAAAAAAATTACCATAACCCTACAATTTTTTTTACTAAAAAAAAGTTTAATTCTTTCCGATCAGCTTTGAAGCCTTTTCCAACAACTTATTTGCTTCATCAGCTCCAACATTTGATTCCAACAATTTCTGGCACTTTCTAATAATGAATTCGAATGATTTTGCGCAGTTGTTTTTAGCATAACTGAGTAAAATAGAAATCATTAAGTTTCTATCTTTCTCATCAATCTTTTCATTTAATTTAATCAACTTCACAAGCATTTCAATGTCATTGAAGTCTCCATTAGCTTTTTGATGTGAAGAAATTTCATCACAAACATCAACATCTTTCTTTTGTTCAGGAACAAAACTGTTCTTTTCAGCATCAGCATCAAAACCATCAAAACTTTGTTCTTGAATATGAGCACCAGCTGATCTCGTTCTTCTTATATTTGCTGCAAACATAATGTTATCTTGCAAAGGAGCAGCCTTTGCCATATTCATCAGTGGAGGAGGTGCTCTTGCAACCATTTTTCTCGCAAACATTTCAACAGGAACATCAACTTCTTCAAGTTTCGAAATTCCTTCATGTTTTGTTTCATTGTCATATAATACTAATGATGTGTATCTCGTCATGATGTTGAAACGCTTTGCTAGATCAATAGTTTCTTTTTCTGTCAACTTATTATTATTTGTCGCACGGTTTATGAAGACAGAATGAAGAAGTTTGCTGGTATCAAGCAACTGTGCATCATCTGAACTCATAACAATCTCCTTCTGCTCTCCGCTGGATTCGCCTGTAATTTTGACTTGGCATTTTCCAGCTTTTCCATAGTAAAATAGCTCGTAGAACGAATTACGAGGGATTGTACGGAAATTGTGTGCCATCGGTTGGCCGCAATCTGATTCAATTTGGACATTTGATAAAGTTGGATTTGTCGAATCTTCTAAAAGACGAATAATCGAATCGCGGAGTTGAGAGGCGTCCAAGACATGTTCGGAAACACCTCCTGTGAAGCTGGCCAAGTTTCGGACTAAGTTCATATCAGCTCCAGCTCCAAGTCCAAGGGAGAAGATCTTTGTTGATGAGTCCCTGACGAAGTCGAGGACTGCCTGTGAATTATCTACGGCTCCATCTGTCAAAACAAAGAGGACATCCGGTGATAATTCGTTATAAATCTGTTTAATTGGGTTGAAAATTTCTGTTCCACCGAGATTAGCCGACGTACCCTTAATAAATGCTAATGCTGTGTTTAGTGAGTCATCATTATACTCTGTAAGCTTGAAATCAAATAATGAATTGAAAGTTGATCCGAATCTGACGATTTCGAACTTGACACCTGGTTCAAGAGAGTGTAAGAAGAGGTCCATTGCCTTGATAGCATTTTCTATTCTGTTATCAATAGTCATTGAGCCGGAACAATCGAGAAGGAAGACAATTGACTTGACATCTGTCTTCCTATTGGATAAGTAGTTAAGAGGGTTGATCTTGAAGTTGACAACTTGAGTATTTCCCGTGATTTCCTTAACTGAAACTGGATTCTTGTTTAGGAAGACGTCAACATTGAAATCAGTTGTAGGGATTGTTTTGAGTGTCATTACATTACCTTCTATTGAATAATCTTCCATTTTTGTTTCAAATTTTGAATCTTTTGGAATTGTAAATTTCAGGTTAAATTTGTAAGTTGTAGATCCTATAACTGTCTCAGGAGCCTGTTCTGAGCCTGTATTTGGAGTTAATTTGTATCTTGGGAATAAAGTCAAAGGAAGAGAAACTCTGTTAAAGAATAGTTCATTAGATGGACTAAATACGGTTGGTAATGATGTGTACATGGTGAATGAAATATCAATATCCGAATTTGGAGGAATTGCGCACAAATTTATTGATAATCTGTCTTGTTTTTGAGAAACAAGTAGAGCAGTCTTGTTATTAGTCTTCATTTCGTTGTATGTTTCACTTGCTTTCTGTTTTTCTTCAGCATAAGATATAAATGTTTTGTTATTTGCTGACATAAATACATCGCTGACGGTCATATCTGTGTCCATTGGGAATATAAGTTTGGCTTCAGTCAATGTGTTGGGATTATTGTTTCTGTATTGCAATCTGAAATCGATTTGAAGATTTGATCCTTCTAAATTCATGTTAATGTCCATTAATTTTAGAGGTATATCCGTTTTGTTTTCAGTTTTAATCTGTACTGGATAAAATTGACACTTATCAAATAGGGATAATAAGAATAAAAACATAATTATTTTTGACAAACTGCAAATTTTGAATAATTGATTTATCGTTCCGACTTCATAACCAATCAAACAAATTGATTCTAACTTCAGATTTGAAATTCAACAAAAATTGATGAGAATTGTTTGATGAGGTCAGAATCTATTTGTAAAATGTCAAAATATTTGGCTTCTCTCCAACTACAGGTTTTCACGGTACCTGTAAATGGTCTGTATCGTCCTTTGAGTTCTTTTAAATACTCATATGTAGGGCAATATTACCTCACAGTATGAAGTCTGGAATAGCTGTTTTTGATCAATCATGAGGTGAATATAGTGTTTGGGTAACATTCCAAGCAAAAAATATGTATATAATGCATATCCCTTGTTTTATTTTTTCAAAATTCAACTCAACTTTAAGATTCCTGTTAAAAATATTTTGGAGATTAATCCAATGGAAGCAATTTTAACGAATCAAGAAAAATATCATTATCTTTATTATTTCATTAGCAATGTAGTTCTCTGCGTAGAAAATTCATTAGAAAAATGCAATTTCAAGAGAATAATTGAAGATTTAATATTTTTTTTAAACGATATAAGAATACTAAAAAGCTTGTTTGTGCTGAAGAGTATTTTCTTAATAATCCCGATACCATCTATAACACGTAATATATTGGGGCATATATGCAGTTCCTTTGCCAGAACTTTCTGTGTATCCTTCAATATTATGAGAATGTGTTGATTCCGATGTAATGCAACTTTGTTGTTCAGGGGAAAAATCTGTGTTAGAATACCTCGGCCTAGGACCAGGACCTGCACAATAGACATATGTGTAACAAAAACGATGAGAATGGGACTCCGTTGATGTGCTGAGACTAATATAATGACTGTGAGATGGCAAGTTTTTAACTGAAATGTATTGGCTTCCTCCTGTTTGTTTTGATGAATTGTTAGTTGGAACTGAGAATAAGAATTTATTTTCTATAGGGATCCAGTGTCCACCAAAAAGAGTTGATGGGTCAGTGTTGTTCATAGATTCATAAATTGTTCCAACAGGATAAAAAATATCAAGCATCCTTCTTTTAATGTCAAAATTAATGTTTTTCAATGAATTTATCTGATCTTGAATGTTCTTAAGAAGCTGTTGATTTTTAGCTTGATAAGCAATGCACATCTCAGATTTTATTTGTGTATTCAGGATTTCTGAAATTATATTTAATATCGTACAAGGATCATCTTTGTAGCAAACCGCATCAACATGTGTGTGTTGAATTATTTCCAATATTTCATTTGCATTAAATACTTTTGTAACATTTTTAAACATATCACAAAACTGATTTTTTGTTAATTTTGTTTTCTCAAGAATGTCGTTCATATCTTTAACAGTTCTGCACTGAAAGAAAGCATCATCATTACACCATGTATCAACGTTGTTCGCATAGTAAGCTATATCCAAACTCATTCCTTCCTCAAGAAATATGTGGTAAATTAATAAATCGTTTGCAAGTATTCAAATTTTCAGAACTTTTAACGTTCAAATAACCACCAGGGGGTTTGAATCGTAGAATCTATTGAATGCCAATTAGACTTACTGATCTTTGGATTTAAAGAAAAAATATCCAGATTCCTTTCTTTTTGATATTAACCGTTTATCTGCCTGGTGCACCGATAAAATCTGATAAAAAGAAACGACTAAAAATCTCAATATCCATTCAATATGAATTAGAAATATTTGTGATAAAAATTGAATTCAAGGTTTTTCTTTCACAGCTCTCTTATTAGAGCTAAACAAATTGAATTATCTGGTCCCCAAATGTCCTCCAAGAGGCATTTCTTATTTAAAAAATTGATAAGAAAAAAAATTGGAAATGTTCTGATCAAATTTTAGGGTCTGGATTCATATGATATAAACTACAGATACTATTAATATAAAAAACTATGTAAATCATCAAAATATTAAACATTTTTTACTGTGAATTAAAATCAAGATTTGGGAATGGATCTGTTTGCGAGAAAACGATCTTCTTTAAAGGATGACTCATATATGCTTTAACATATCCTTCTTTAATCAAAGATGCTATAATTGATTCAGATAATACAAAATCGTAATCTCCGTATTTAGATATTGCTTCTTGGAACAATGTAGTAGGTACCTTAGCATCTCCCCATAAATTATGGACGACTTTAAGGATCTGTAAGAAAACTAATTGTCTTGCTTTAACAACTAAATCAAATAATCCTAATTTAATAAATAAGAATTGATTTGACTCTAGACTTTCATCGTAGAGGGCAAGATTGCCTGTTTCTATGGCTTTGGCTAAGAATTCATACATTGTTAAACTATATTTATTGATAAGATCTTTGGAAGGTAATTGTCCTAAGCACATTTGCACAGGAACTAAGTAGGCTAAAATAAGACGTCTGTTCTTACGTTCTATATAAGGAGTATGATGAAATGCGAATAATAAATCTTTTTGAGCTTCTTGAAGCTTAGAATAGACGGCATTGATCTTTCCTTTGTTAAATGAAAATTCAACAGCCTCATTTATAGGATAATTTGAAAGATCTTTGACCTTTTCTTCAACAACTTCAATGACGTTTTGAGCTTGTTTGAAATTATTGCGAGAAAAGTTAACTAGTATAAGATTGTTACCAACATACAGCAGCGCAGACTCACCAGTCTTTTTTCTTTGATAAGCCATTGACAAAGGTAGCAATTTTTGCAAATAAGTAACGGATTCATTATATTCTGCTGTTTCTGAAAAGTATTTAAGTGATTTGGCCATAGTTTTCAGGCAAAGAACAGAAACATTTGTATCTAATTGTTTGAAATTGCGAATAACTGGTGTAATTGCCTTTATGTACAGCTTAAATGCATCTTTTTCGTTCTGAACGCTAAATATTTGGCTGATTAATGGAAAGATTTCTGTCCATGCGCCATTAGAATTTGTTGTGACTTGATTTGATGATTGAAGACTTTCTAGTAATGAAGTATTCTGCGAAATATACTGATAGTCAAAGCACTGGGCTATTAGCTGATCAATATTTTGCTTTTGTTTGTTCATTTATTTTAGGCACTTTTCCTTTTTTCGAAGATTTTACCTTTCCTTTGAGAATATTTGATTAAATGCAATGACAAATCATCATATTTAGGTATAATTTGAATAATTGTATATATAAACAATCAATTTCTCATAAAGTTGTTTTGATGAATGAATAAATCAAGTCGACAAGACAAAATTGATGAATTCAAAAGAGAACATTCGTGTTATATTGATGTTATTGAGCAAATATTCTCATTACAAACATCAGAAACAAAAGAACTGGAAAATATTTTGATAGCAATTCGTTCAGTTTTAATTGAAAAGTATCATGAAACACCAGATACCGTTGCATATATAATAATTAAAGCAATTAATACGTCTAGAAAACATTATGACCAATATTTGGAAATTTTAAAGCATTTATTCAAGGAATATCATTCATTCTTTGACAATATGTTTCATCATAAGAATGTGTACCTTCGTGAGGAACTAGCTTTAATGGAATTCTTTGAAAATAAACAAAATTTTCAAGTTGAAATTCAAGAAACCATTATCAGTAATGATAATATTGATTCTTTGAAAGAATTTACAATTGCACATCAGTTACCTAAGATTAATTGTTTCAATGTGATGAATATTGATGTAAATTATCTTGATTTGTGCGCATACTACGGTTCCGTAAATTGTTTTATGTTTCTAAAGGATAATTTTGGGTTTGGAATTACAAATAAAACACTTCAATTATCTTTCATCGGGAAAAACATAGATATTATCAATACTTGTATAAACAGCTACCATAAAGATGAGTTGAATAATGTGATGAATTTTATTGTTGCTTCTCATAATTTTGATTTCATTAAAAAAGCAATCGAAATTTACAACTTGAAAATACCAATTTCTGCATCATATGAGTATTTCAACTACAGAAGTTTACTATATTTACTAGAAATGAATGATGAAAACCAATGTGACATGATATTTTCAACAATTAAAAACAAAAACAACTTATTTCTAAAGCTTCTGATGGAAATAGGTTATGATCCTAATCTAACGATGATAAACTATGGCCATTCACTTTTATATTACGCGGTTTTATCAAAAAATATAGAATCAGTAAAAATTCTTTTTGATTATGGAGCAATTTATCCGCAAAATGAAGAACTAATATTTGATACTGTTAATAAAGATATGATTGAAATCACAGAACTGCTCTTGAAGAATGGTGCTGATCCGAATAGTTTGAACGTAATGCAGGAAACACCTCTTTTGGATTACACAAAAAGTAATCATGAAAATACAAAAATGATCGAATTGTTATTGAAATATAATGTTGATATAAATGCAAAATCATTGAATGGGAAAACAGCCTTACATAATGCAGCATATAATTGTAATAAAGATATCTGCAAACTACTTGCTGAAAAGTGTATGAACTTGAATTGTCAAGATATTATTCTTGGAAACACTCCACTTCATTATGCAGCGATTTCTCAATTTCCTGAAAACATTGAAGTTCTTGTCACTCATGGAGCAAATCTAAATATACAAAATAGAGAAGGATTGAAGCCAATAGAGTTAGCAATCAGAGCTAATAATAAAGAAGCTGCAAAAATTCTAATTAGAAATGGAGCTTAATAATTTATTTGGGATCAAATCTCGTTTTGATGAGAATTAATGTTTAGAATACAATATAAAAATGTAATGGATAACGTTTAATTAAACGGATTCATAATAATTAATACAAATTTTCAAAATTTAGATAAATAAACTGTTTATTCTTATGTTTGTATAGCTAAATGGATATATTTCTTATGTAAAAATTAAGTTAGTGCCATATTGATGCTTTACTTTGATTAAATATTTGATAATTTAATAGACTTATGGTTGGTATCAAATATAAATCTGTTTGTAATCTACAGAATGTTACACATATGTATATGCATCAATGTATATCCTATGTGCAGCTATAATTATTGATATGAGATTTTTCGGGATTAGTTTTTGGAGTAATTTTCTCAAAACAGTAATAAATGTTATGCATGTACAATGTACTAGTGTAAAACGAATTAATTTATATCGAGAAATTTTAATGAGAAAAAATTCTGAAGTAGAGTTCTTTTTACTAGATGGGAAGATTACTTTATAATGTAAATTATTTCAAAATGGACATCAGAGATTTTGATTCATTCTCAAAAATTGAAAGGAACAATATTTTTAAAAGCAATTTTAGTTTGTGGCTAAAATCATTAAATTGCTTGCTCTAATCAGCTTAATCCAAAATGGTATGTTCATCTGACCAATCCGTTCTTACAAATTGTTGAGAGATTGCGGTTTTTTTGATAAGGCTTGTCACAAATTTCGTTGGCCAAATCGATGAGAACGACAACCTCAAGGACTTCCCAGGAAATGTTGAATTACGATGATACAAATCCAGAGCTCTATGCCTTCCTCGTTAGCACGAAGGGCATATTAATGATTGCTTTAGCCGGATTATTTGTATTCCTTGGTGCTATTGCATCTCTACATTTTCTTGGACAAAAGGGTGTTTGCTCATATGCAACAGTAGTTTTGTTTTCATTCTTTTTCATTCGCCACATTGTTGGTGAAAATAAAGTCAAAATGAACCATCTCAAGAAAGAATAAGCAACCGTTGTTCTTAATAAATTCAGTTATTTAGTGTTTTTTTATAATTCTCGTACATTCTTAATAATTTTTTTAAGTAATTTTTTTTTTATTAAATTTAATGAAGATCAATTTGTATCATAGAAAAGCTTAGGTGACCCCGTTTCTTTAATCCCTGCAGAAATCCAAACCACATTTGAGCGAACAAAATTTGCAGTCAAAAAATAAACTTTAACCATTTACAGACATTGCACAAATCTTTTTCTTACGGAATCTATGAATATTAATTATACACATTATAATAGAAACATTTAATAAGAAATTCGTATGATATCAAATTGAGAAATCTTTTGATGAGATTGTTCAAACATTTTTTAGTATGGCCAACTTCAGGCCACCATTTGCTCCAACGTTATCGAGAAAAAATAATAATTAATTCAAATAAAGATTTAAATCATAAAATCGATATATTTTACATTTTCTCTTACTTCTCTTGAGCACACATTTTGAGAATGTATGAAGCATCACAATATTGGAAATAATCAATTTTCTGTAATTGGATATTTCAGTAAATTAATAATTAATTTAATATTATTAATTTACCAATTTCATTTAATATTATTATTGTAATTAAATAATTGAAATGATCCCTAGAATTTGTTTTCTCCGAATCTGCTAGTTTATAAAGATAACTTCATTTATTTAGGAATTTTTGAATTTTTTACCAAAAAATATTTAAAAATTAAAAAACAAATCAAATTTATAAGAAGATTCTTGATGTATTTTGCAAATCATGAAAAGTTGTGAAAATGTGAAATGGACAAGAATCATCAGGACGTCAGATCATAACAACATTTTCACCAAAAGTATCTAATCCTAGAATTTTACGTATCAAATTTCTTCAAAGATGCATGAAAACACATAATGATGACTCAAATCCGTTTGCAAATGAATTGTACTTCATAATACCCATTCTAATCTCATTTTGTTGATTATTTTCAAAATTCAACTACATTTCTTTGAAAAGCTACGGTTGCTATCAACATATCATCATTATTTTCTCCTACTAAAGCAAAAATAATGATTTATCCTCAGATTCATCTCCATTTTGATGGGGATTATTATTATTTTTAAATTACTCTAAATAAACCGCAGTTCAGTTTTCTTGAATATAACTACAATAATATTTCTTGCAAACGATAAATCAGTATTTCTGATAATCTGCAAAATTTTCTTTCTTATTGCGAAATTGAGGAAATTCTGTACATACATATGTATCACAAGATTATTAAGAGCTATTTCCATTCTTTTTTAAGATTATTTGTGCATTCAAAACGCAGATAACATCATTTATTTGAGAATCTATAGTGATTTAAGCAACAAGTTCCCTTGAACAATAAAAGAATTTGTTTTTATATTAATTGCACAATAAACATTATAAATAATTCTGAAAATAAAATATATTGATAGCTGTTGTATTATCTATAACCTTACCATTGATATAACCAGTTGCATCATCTCCAGATACGCAGTTATTTTTCTCTCTGATCAAAAGAGGATAGCATCTATTAGCATATAGATATTGATTTTCATATTGAACTGTCTTTGTGGTTGTGCAACGGTATGTAAATACTGATCCATCCTCTGATTTTTCTTGATAATTGAAAAATGCATGAACTGATGGAAATCCTTGTGCTTTAATGGTGTAAGTTCCTGTGGTACGGGGGCAAATTGATCTAGAAACCCATTTCCAAGGATATGAATTATGATGTTCAGTATAAAAGCTTGTAACAGCTTTTTTATCAGAATCATCTTCATAGTACCTGACATATCCAAGATTACCATTACTTTGACTTGAGCATTTATTGTTTGGGTCTGATAAACCTGAGCTTATGAGGAATAAAAACATTATGTTTAACTTTGAATGGACATTGAAATTATGATACCGAAACGCATCATCAAGAACTATTCAATTTCTCGAACATTCATCATTCAAACACACATAAACACATATAAATATACAAAAACATAAAGCCGATATTCAGAATCGATCGCAAACAACTGTACAAAAATTTTTCATTGACACTACTGATCACTTTAATATTTGATCTGACTTTTTTTGGCTGGAAGTGTATTCACTCAATTTTTGAGAAAGAACACGATCACATTGAATTCGATTTGAACATTAGAGATCTACTTAGGTAAAGATATATATGCTGGATTTATTAACAAAGATTGAAATCAGAGCTTTATCGTAGATAAAATGATCAAAATCCAATAAAAGTTAATCATAAGGAATCTACTGAAGCTAAAATCCATTCAAAAAATTTCCTCCATGATTTAATATGATTTTCGAAAGAAAATATCAAAAAATGATAGTAGTATATGTGGACGGGTTTAGTGACTTTTTTTGTTACATCTATATATAGACGATACATTAAAATATAAATCATAGTATTATATGTGGAAGTGTTGTGTACGTAGTATATGTGGAAGGATTGTGTACCTTTTTTTGTTACATCTATATATAGACGATGCATTTATTTATAAATCATTAAAAAATTAACATTAATTTTAAAATAATTTATTTTTTATCTTTTATAAAAGAAGTTATATATAGATGATGTCAGATATTCCGCGATTAATTAAACATTGTTTAAATCCTGAATGGGTTAAACTTCAATTTAAAAATGAAGATTGTGAATTATTAAATGAATATGAAAGCCAAAATAAGCTAATGAGGTATAAATATAATGATAAAGAATATTTAATTTCATGGAATCAATGGAGTCATAATCAAAGACCTCATAAACGAGAAGAAGAAATTGAAAATAATGAAATGGAAATCATTGATGACATTAAAGAGGATGGAATTCCTAAATTTTGTAGAAAAACCTTTAGAACTAAGTTAGGAGCATATAAACGTAGAGTATTAAATCCTGAATATCTTAAACATCAATTTAAAAAGGAAGATTGTGAATTATTAAACGCTAATGAATATGAAAATGCTAAATCAAAACTGAGATATAAATATATTGGAAGTGATGAAAGGTGTAAAGATAAAGATAAAGTTTATTCAGTTTCATATAATAACTGGCACACGTTAGGGATAAGAAAACATTTAGGAGATTATGGTAAAAGTTCTGAATTCTTCAAATCTAGTATGTACGAGAGAATAAAAGAAATTAGAAATAATTATTTTCATGAATGAAAGATTCACTACCATAATGAAATAAAAAATAATTTTTTAAAAAATAAACTTTAAAAATTCATGTCTTACATTTTTTGAATAATTTATTTTTTTAATTCGTAAGAAAATGAGTGGATCAAGATTCGTAACCGTCAATCAATTAATGGATGTTCTTTCACCAATTCTTGAAAATGTTAAACAAGTAGATGTTTATTTCGATGATTATGTAGAAAGTATATATTATAAAGGTAAGTTTAATATTAAACCTATTGCTTTTGCATTTGATAATAAATTAATTGAAAATGCAAAAATTTGGGAATTAATTCCAGATATTGAATTTATAACAAATATTAATGATAAATGGTTTAAACGAATTCCAACCACAAAAGTTCTTTGTAAATTAATGATCAAAACTGAGGAAAAAGAATTTAACAGGTTTAAATATCATCCAAATAAAGTTTCAGAACTAGAAAATGAAAAACTTCAGAAAAAATTAAACGATAGACTTTCAAATGATCGTATTGAAAAAATAAATAAACTAGCAGAAGTTGCATTTAATAATGAAATATTTGATGAATATAACCTTGAACTCAGTGATGGACTTTAAGTCCTGGGCACTTTGTGCCTTGGGCTTTAAGGACCCGGGCTCAACGAGTCATGATTTATGAAATCAATTATTTGATTCATTCTTTCTTCAATAATTTCTATTCTTTTTGTTAAATCATCTATTTTCATTAATGAGGTGATTCTTGATTGAGGAATAGATTTCAAACTAACCACTCCTTTTATTTTTGAAATTTTGAATCCATGACCCTCCGGGTCTTGGACTCTGTCCTCAACTTTAAACATTTTATTCAATTTACATGTTGTCAATTCTTCAAATAATTTTTTATTATTAGCATAATAGTCATTAAATTCTTCAACAGATGAAAAAATTTTTATTTCAGTAATTGGTTTAACAACGTTTATTTTTTGTTGAACATTTTCACTTTCATTTATTTCTTCCTCCTTTGTTTCATTTATTTTTAAAATCGGTTTCATTTATCATTAAATAAAAATTAGAATATAAGTGATGAAATATATTTTTTAATTAATATTAAATCAGAAATGGCGGCAGGATTCTTTAAAAAATTATGGGATGGAATTAAGAAAGCTGCAGGTTGGGTTTATAAAAAGGTTATTAAACCTGTTGCAAACTTTTTGGCACCAGTAGCGAAAACGGCAGGAACTATCATAGGTGGAGTATTAGGTACTAAAGCAGGTAATCCGGCGATGGGAGCACAAGCAGGTAACGCAATTGGTGGAATTGCTGAAGGAATACTTAATAAAATAGGGGGTAAATAGTGGAAAAATAAATAAATATTATTTTTATCTTAGTATTGGTTGTAGTCTTTGATAAACTTTTTCTCCTTTATTTAAAATTTCTCTTATTGGGGCAGCTTTTGGTGTTATTGATTCAGCAACGTCACTAATTGCTTCTTTATTCTTAAATATCCAATTCGCTCCTTTCTTCATTGTTTCCCAAACTTTATGCGCTCCTCTTTTTACTTTATCCCACAGTTTCTTAAAGAATCCTGCAGCCATAGTTGATTATTTCATTAAAATTAAAAATTCATTTTCATATTTTAATTTTGATTTTTTATTTAATAATAAATGACGACTAACTATTTGGTGCCAAACACTAAACCAATTAATGGAAATGTATTTCATTCATTCGAAAAGATAAATGAAATATTCGCAAAGAATGATGGTAGAAGATATTATAGAGAACTTGAAAGTTCATGCTATGACTCTGATACTCCATATTTTGATGATAAACAAACTCATTTAAGAATTACAAATCCAGCTCATGATGTGAACCAATTAGGTGACACATATATTAAACGCAAAGTTAAAGCAACTCTAGTTTCAAATAAAGCTTTCACATGTGATGCCGCTTTTAAATGCATGCGTTTATTCGTTGGTTATAAATCATCAAATCAAAGCTTTAAACAATTAGAAGTAGAAACCGAAAGAGGTGATGCCGGTTATCTTCAGATGGATTGCGCCCGTGAATCTTTCGCATTTGCAACATATAAACCAAAATCAGAAAGGAAAGTTAAAAAGTTTGTTCATTCGTTATATAATAATGTTCAAAAATATGATAACTCAGTATGTGGTAAATATATTGACCCTTCAGAAGTTTTCAAGAAAGCAAATGAAGAAGTTGATGTCACTTTTGATATGATTATTCCGGTAAATGATTTGTTAGCATTTCAGGCGTTCGATGATTATCCTAAATCATTTGGTGAAATCATTCTTAAATATTATGTTTTCAGGGATACTTTAGTATTTTGTCAGGTTGACCGTTAAGAGTTGCTGATTTACAAAATTATGTTTATGAAAAGATAACTGATGAAAATTATGAAAAGATTATGAATCATGTTTATAAATATGATCGCAAATTCCAACAAATCGGACTTCCTGCCAAATTAATTACAAGCTTAGCCGCTACATCTGCTGACGCAACAGTTGAAGACGTTATTATTTCATGCACAAAGATGGAAGTTTTAGAGGATAAATGCATTACACCAGGATACGGTTTAATTGAAGAATCAGTTAAAGCAATACCACGTTTATTCAGTAAGGAAGATCCATTCATGATTCCAGCTCAACATATTGACGTTCGTTCACTAAATGGAGGTTGCATCACTCCTGAAGGTAATCAGTTCAGATTTCTCATACGCTCTTCATAATGTTACAGATGTTGTGTTAACATTTCCGAAGAATGCAATGCAAAGAACGGTTTTAGAAAATCCAATGCTTCGAGGTCTTCAGGTCACTATAGATTCCAGAAACTTCCCGATCAAGCGATGACCAACAGTGGGTGACATATTCTTTACACGTATGCTTCAAGCTTCTGATTTAGATGGAGTGAATGAATGCACAGAAGAATACGAGGACTCATTAACTAGACCACTGAATGATGATGATGGCAAGCCATTAACTAGAACATGGAAAGACCAAACTTCATTCTTATGCACTATTCCAGTTCAACGTGATGGAGCGGGTATATTCTTTGATGGATTAGAAACTTTCAATTCACAAGTTACAGTACAAGTGAAAGCCTATCCAATCATTCAGGGTGAAAATGACACTTACTGTTCAAAAGTGACAAATCCTCCTCAGGTTTGGTTTACTAGGACTACATATTGGACATGGACACCGGATGAAGGTTTGAAATATCATCCAACAGGTACACCACCGCAGTATAGAAGTTCATATGATGAAATATTGATGAATAGAAATGTATAAAATTATAAATTTATTTTTGATTAAATGGATTTAAATTCATTCACCCCTTATGAAGAATTAACAGGAGTATATAATACATACGTAGATGATATGATTAATGAAGCATTGAGTGATAATAGAAATGCTCTATCTAAGGAAAAATTAATGAAAATTCCATATTCTGAATGTTACTTAAATTCAATCACTGCAGCAATTGGTAAACAAAATAAAGGTAAAACATTAACGATATTAAAACAAATTATCATTATTGCTAACACTTCCCCCCATTCACATGTGTTAATTTATATCAACCGTTCAGGTTCACCTTCAGATGATACATTTGAATCTTTAAAGCATTTAATCAAAATTCCAATTATTTATTTATCACAAGAAGAAGCAGAAGATTATTTAAAAAACTTTTTAATGTATAAAGAATTATATAATAC